AGAATAGGCGTGGACTGGACGAAGCCTTTTTTCTGGTAACTTTGGACCTGCGGCTAGGGAGCCGGACTGGTGGTTGTTCGTAGTGCCTTAATGAAGTATGTGCATTAATGATAATGCCATACAATTCATAAAAGTAAAGCAGTTATGCTATAAATGTAAGCATGCTTCTGTCGAAAATATGGATGCAAGCTCGAAGCCAGTTAGTTGAATATATTTCAGTTGATTTCATAAATAATATTTCTTTCTGATATTACACACACTAAACTCTTTTTTGGCGTTTTAAATATTTATTTTTCCTTTCACTTCTAAATACTCTATTTTCACCCGTTTCCCCATTTCCAGCTCACTCGAGACCTCCTTCTCGTAGACATTGTGTTCTCTCCAAGAAGCCCATGATACCTTTTGCCAAGACATCCTGTCCCTCCGTATCTGCTTTTCCTCCTGCCTTTTTGCGTGACCGGTTTCTCTGTCTGCTTCCACAATGATTGCTCATTCGCCATCCTCACCGCCGGCACCAAGTCTGAAGCCTATACTCATTGGGATTTTCTCGACCGGACAAACTTAATGTCATTTTGGCGATATAACTTTTGCTTTTTTTACCTGCCTTACCCTACTCTTCCCTACCCTCGATGGCTTTTAGTGAAGCTGATGCTGAGAAGAGCCGAATATCCATTTTGCATTTATCACAACAGCCTCTTTTTACATCGCGACTACCGCTCTTCACAATCATCGGATCTATCCCCGCTGCTTTTATTCCAACCTTTCTCCTTTTATCCTCCCAATTTGTGCCCCAAAACCACTATCCAGCATACCGAACTCAAGAGTTGTCTATTTTCAAAGTTTAATGGGCTTTCGTTTCAAAGTCCTTTCTGTCATGTCGAATTATTTCCAGTACACCTCCTGTGTGACAAGGAGGCTGGATTATTCTGGATACTTTGAGGTTTACCTCTTTCCCCACAAAGTAGCCAGCTCCAATGCTTATTTTATCATCAACTCGCATACGTTCCGTATGGCATGAAATCGTCACCATTCTTCTCACCTTCTGTGATAGACTTGCTATATCAAGCCACTTATGCCCCTCAAATTATTTTATTCCCGTCCTACTTTCTATGAGTATCTAACTTCACCTCTGAGCCGGAGAATTTGCCATAACTAAAAAGCTTCATCAATCGCCTTTTTTCGCCACCTAAAAGCCATTTTCATTATCGCTTTTAGCGCCACCACTTTCACTTGAGCATAATTGACAGCATCATTGTCAACATCGCCAACATTGCCACTTCTATCGAATCCGAGCCATCACTATTTCCATCATCTCAGTCGTCACAACTTCATCTCTACTGCCAACAAAATTTTAGCATTTCTACAATTCGTATCGCTTTCGCCGACAACAACTTCACCATCGTGATTGCCACTTTGCCAGTGCCACAGTTTTCACCATCTATTCACCTCATTATCTTCAGTAACATCACAAAAGTCACTTTTGATTTCACTTATGCAGTCAATACAATTACCAACACAACCTGCCCCAACACTGGCTTTCATACTCGCAACAGCCAACACGCTCGCCAGCAACATTTCCTCAGATCATGTCATCAGTAGAAGTCCTGATTATGGGAGAAAATGTCATTGTGATTCACTCATCCTCCTAGGCATAATATTCCTTGTTCAGCCGTTCGTCCAATAGGATCGGAGTCCTGACTTGCCTCCGTCTGCTTTGCTGGGACCAGATTTGAACATC